GTCTCCCTGTACCTTCCCTTCGAGCACCCCGACCCACCAGGCCAAGTGGTAGAGGAGCTGGTCTCAGTACTGGGTGGAAAAGGCGGACTCATCATTGGATGTGATGCAAACGCTCACCACTCTCAATGGGGCAGTAGTAACACCAATGCCAGAGGTGAGTACATTTTTGATTTTATCTTATCTCATAATCTCAAAATCTGTAACCGGGGAAAGGAGGCGACTTTTTGTATTAAGAATAGAGAGGAGGTCATAGATCTCACTCTCACTAACATGGATGAATCACTTATACTGAACTGGAAAGTTTCGACTGAGTGTTCCTTCTCGGATCACCGGAAAATAACATTCCAAATTTCGGTAGAGGGATTGAATCAAAAACCGCATAGGAACCCGAGAAGGGCTCGATGGAATCAATTTGCGGAGCATACCGCACGGATGCTTAAGTCCACTGGTGATTTTCCAGTGGCCTCGGCATCGGATGTGGACGACTCCGTCAAGTTGTTAACAAAGATCCTGATCGGCAGCTATGAAAGAGCCTGTCCGCTAACCTTCCCGGGTAAAAGGCACCAGCCTGTCTGGTGGTCGAAAGACCTAGCTCAACTCAGGAAGACTAGCAGACGATTATACAATAAGGCCAACAAGACAAAACTGGGTACGGACTGGGAAGCTTATAAACTAGCCTTCAATAAGTACAACAGTGAGATCAAGAAGGCCAAGAGACGGTCTTGGGTGTGTTTCACCGAGTCCATAGATGATGTCAACGCAGCCTCCAGATTCCGTAGAGTACTTTCAAAGGACCCAAAATCCATTGGAAGTATAAAGCGGGCTGATGGTAGCTGGACTGACTCAGGTTTAGAGACTCTCAATCTATTAGCCAGTACTCACTTTCCGAACTGCTCTGATGCGGTATTTGACCGATTGGCAACACGGTCTAGTCAGCATAGTGGGACGGAAGATGTGAATCTGACTAATAGTATTGTTAACACCCCCAAGATTTTGTGGGCCATTAACTCATTCAAACCTTTTAAGTCACCGGGTCCAGATGGCATTATCCCCGCCATGCTACAGCATGCGTCGGCGGAGATAATACCAGTCCTGGAGGTGATATTTAAGGCTTGTTTGCGTCTTTCTCACATCCCACTACTGTGGAGGGAAGTTACAGTCACTTACATTCCCAAAGCTGGGAAGCCAAGTCATGTTCTTCCAAAAGACTACAGGCCTATTAGTCTCTCGTCGTTTCTATTGAAAACGCTAGAGAGATTAATAGACATAGAGATCAGATCTCTAATACCCCTGACCTCTTTAAGCACTGCTCAGCACGCCTATATGAAAGGCAAATCTGTTGAGTCAGCGCAGCACGACGTCGTGGGTTATATAGAGAAGAACCTGAACAGCTCATGTTTCACGTTGGCGGCCTTCCTCGATATCGAGGGGGCCTTCAATAATGTTACATTAGAGGCAATTCACAGTTCTCTCGAAAGACTTAGTGTGCCACCACTTCTCGTCGATTGGATTGATGTTATGCTCAGCAGCAGAATCATCAACTCTAGCATCGGGGAGTGCTCTGTTAGGAAAACGGTCACTAGGGGTACTCCACAAGGAGGCGTTTTGTCACCACTGCTTTGGCTTCTGGTGATAAATAACATTCTACTTGATCTGGAACACAGCGGAACAAAGGTCGTGGCTTACGCCGACGATGTGGTCCTGCTGATTGCTGGGAGATTTCCGCAAACTATTACAGATCTTATGCAGGGAGCTCTGGTTAAACTCTCCAGATGGGCGCGCTGCAATGGTTTAGGCGTGAACCCATCTAAAACTGAGCTCGTACTTTTTACAAGGAGGCGGAAAATACCCGTCCTCTCTCTCCCAATGCTGGATGGTGTAACTCTAAGCCTTTCTTCGGAAGCAAAATATCTCGGTACCATTCTAGACCAGAAGTTAAGCTGGAAAAGGAATATCGAGGAGCGAGCGAAAAAGGGCTTAATTGCACTTTATTCCTGCAAGAACTCCATAGGAAAGAGTTGGGGGCTTAAACCCCATATTATCCGATGGATATATGAGTCAGTCGTCCGACCAATCCTAACCTATGGCGGACTTGTGTGGTGGCATTCCCTACGGAAAACCACCTTCAGCAAGAATATTGACAAAGTACAAAGAGTCGCATCGCTACTAATTACAGGAGCGGTCAGGAGCACGCCACAATCCGCTCTAGACACCCTACTCAACTTAAAGCCTTTAGGCTTATTTGTAGAGGAACTAGCTGCTAGGTGTGCCCTGCGACTCAACGAATTGGGACAATGGCGGAGTCAACCCTTCGGGCACTCTGTCATTCTTAAGTATGTGGAAAACGTAAGTAATCAGGCTATAGCTAGTGACTATACTCCCTAGGCTCAGCTTTGATCTACTTGACATCCGTATACCAAACAGGGATATCTGGTCCCGTGGCACTCCACCTTTCGACGGTATAGCGGTCTATACTGATGGTTCAAAGATGGAAAGTGGAACGGGTGCTGGAGTCTACTGTGAAAGCCTAAGTATCCGAAGATCCTTCAGGCTAAACAGCGATTGCAGCGTTTTTCAGGCAGAAATTTTTGCTGTCAGAATGGCCATAGAACTGTTGAATAATAGAATTAACGAACGGGATGGACCGGTGACTATATATGTCGATAGTCAAGCGGCCCTAAAAGCTCTAAATTCTTTCACAATCAAGTCTATGGCTGTTCTGGAGTGCAAGAATGCCCTGGAAAAGTTTAAGTCAGCTGTCAAGCTCTGTTGGGTCCCTGGGCACTGCAACATATCTGGCAATGAATCTGCTGATGAATTGGCCAGACGCGGATCTGAGTCAGTAGATCTAGAGATCGAGAGCTCAGTGAAGCCACCTTTATGCCACTTCTTTCAAGTTTTGCATAAACACTATCTTGGAAGATTTCAACAGAACTGGCTATCTGGAAGGGGATGCAACATCTCCAAAAAGATTTGGCCGGTGAACTCCGAACGGAGATCACGGTCACTCTTGTCCATGACGAAGTTGGACTTGAAGCTTGTGGTGGGCCTAATTACAGGTCATTGCAACATAAAGGCCATGACTTCAAAATGGGGGGGTGACGACACTGAATACTGCAGGCTATGTCAGGACGAGGAAGAAACAGAAACGGTGGAACACTTACTCTGTCATTGTCCTACCCTCATCGGAGTAAGACATAGGCTTCTGGGTAAGCACTTACTGCCTGACCTGTCATACCTCTCCGAAACAGAACCAGCAGTCATTCTTCAATTAGCCAGAAGACTAAAATGGCTAAGGACGACACGTTGATTACACCGTGGACGCAAACCCACTAGCTTCTCTAATTCTTCTAAATCCTATATTCTACACTAACTATCTTTCTTATCTCACTTCCACTTCTTTCTAGACTAGGATGATCACAATGGGCCAATAGGTCTCCGAGTGGAGTGGTTGTTGTTTTTACGCAACCACACATCCTTTAACCTAACCTAACCTAATTTTGTTGTTACCTGAAGGAATTGAGCTGAAATTCTGGAATTTTATATTGAGGTGGTTATTGTTGACTTCCATGGTTTACGTTGAAATAATTTTGGACAGAAAAATTGGTTGTAGGTCCATTGTGGAATGGTTTAACTAAAATCCTCCTCGGTAAACTTCAAAACGAAAGATTTTGAAGAATTTTTTTTTTTGCCAAAGGTAAACGTTTTCCGAAAAAAGAAAACTTGAATATTGAGAACTATGAAAATTTAGTACGAAGTTTCGTTTCGATGAAAAACTTCGTCGAACTAAACATATTGTGCATTTTAAGTACTAACAACTAAAAATGCAGGTAAGTTCGGTCAGGCCGAACTTTTAATACAACCCCCCCCCACCACCACTTTAAAGGAACTTGAAAATTTTTGAAAACAAAAAAAATCCATAAAAAATATCTGTCAAATGAAACCTCTTATTTGGAGGCTATATGAGGACGTTTTCCTTCATAAGTAATATTGCCATAGGCTGTAGAAACCATTACGAACTTTAAATACAAAATTTAAAACAATTCCGGCAAAATATGCCGCTAAAATCATCGAAATACCGAATATTGGGAGACGTGGATAGACATACACACTGTTTTGTCATACATTGTAATACCCATTACGAACTTCAACTATGAAATTTAAAACAATTCCGGTTAATCTTGTCCCTAAAATCATCAAAATATCGAATTTAGGGATGTATCGTTATATGGGAGCTATACGAAGACAAGAAAAAATGTTTTGTCATAGGCTTTAGTACCTATAACGAACTTTAAATGCGAAATTTGATATAATTCCGGTAAAAATATTCTTAAAATCATCAAAATATCGACAACTGGGAGATAATTTATATGGGGGCTATATGAAAACGTGGACCTGCTTACTGGCAAAATACACAAGTGTCCACAATTTTAGCCTTCTATCGCAGTTCATGCCAAAGATAGCATGATTACAACAGACAGCAGACGGAGATCGCTAAATCGACTTAGAATTTTACGCTGATCAAGAATATATATACTTTATTGGGTCTGACATGGATATTTCGAGTTATAAACAGAAGACAAAGTTAATATACCCTTAATAGAATGGTGGAGGATATAAAAAGGCATAACAAACCCTTTTGAAACGAATCTAAAATGTTAAGGTGGACTTTTCGCAGATGAAGTAGCAGGCACTTGCTAGTAAAGTATAATTATTCTTCGATATCAAAATAATACCTCTTACTGGAAATTTCTTAAAAAAATATTTCATAATGTATGACCTCTGGAAAAATACAAAATTGCATTTCGTCACCTGCCGGATTTGTCTAATCTATATTAACTTGGAAAAAGAATCTTGAGTCATTCCCAAAACAATAAAATTTTCTACCAAAAATGTATTTAAAAAAATTAATAAAATGTTAAACTTACCTTCTTAGACGCCGTCATTTATTTTTTTTTTTTTCTAAATCGCCAGTATTGAAAATCAAAAATTTGTTCACCTTGTTTTTTGTTATTGGTGATTTGATCTTTGAGCTTCTTCGTTCTTTATTGTGTATATATTTTCAAAATTTGCATTTATTGTTTGTTGCATTTTCATTCTGTTTGTTTTAATTTTAATTAGTTGTTGTTGATTCTTTTGTGCTTGAGCCAAGCTATAAAAATTATAAGGAAAAAAACGAAAACAAAGAAATAAAAAATAATAAACAATCTTTCTTTTTTTAAATTTTAAGTTAATAAGTACGAAAATAAATAAGTGTGCATATTACTAAGTTCTTTTTTGGAAAGAAAAAGATAACAAATAGAAGCAAAACTATATGCAAACATGGCCATAAGGAATGTGGGGTATTATAGCTTGGGAGTAATAATGTTCATGACCAGAAAAGTCGGATTGTGAATGCCATTTTTTCTTTGTAGCTCTCCCAGAAGCTTAACTTTTCTTTTATAAATTTTTAAAAAATGTCGGATTGTGAATATCATTTTTTCTTTGTCGCTCTCCCCGAAACTTAGCTTTTCTTTTTTAAATTTTTGAATTCGATTTTCGTCTTTAAAATCCGTATGGCCATGACATGACCATAAGAAATGTGGGGTATTACATTTTGGGAATACAAATTTTCATGACAAAAAATCAGTAAAGAAAGTCCTAAAGACGGGCGGGGCCGACTTTATGATACTCTACACCACTTTGCTAATTTAGTAGAGCTCCACATAACAATTTAAAGATTTGATGGGAGAATTTAATCATACACGCTATGATTATAATTGTAATTTAAAGTTCATAGGACTAAATATGCCGAAACATTTGTATCTTTTAAATTCGGACTTGTATTGCCGATTTGGAGCACAATTAATTTGAAATCAGATAAAGGTCTTTCTGAGCTGCATTTGATATATTTCCCCAAATATTGTTGTTACGGAGTGCATATTACGGCTGCGGAGGACATAAATAACAAATCGGATGAACAATATATATGGGAGCTATAGCTATATCTGAACCGATTTCGATCAATCATTTGGCATACTTATTTTCAGGCCTAATTTGGTTGTATGTGCAAAATTCCATACTATTCGGGTTGATATAACACGTTTAGTGCACAATAAAAGGCAAATCGGACGAAGATATATATGGGAGCTAAATCTAAATGTTTACCGATTATCTCCAATTTCAATAGGGTTCGTCCTTGGGCCAAACAAATGATTTGTGCAAAATTTCATCTCAATCGGATAATAAATGCGACCTGCATTTTGTTCACAAGAATACAGGGACAGACGGACGGACTGACTGGCATGGATAAATCAACTCAGAAAGTGATTCCATGGAGATCCTCAAAAATAACTATGGGTCTATCTCGCTTCCTTCTCCATGTTACAAACAAATGCACAAAGACATAATGCCCTTACCACTATGTGGTGTAGGGTATAAAGACGGATTGTAAATTCCATTTTTTCCTTTGATGGACTCCCAGAAGCTCAGCTTTAATTTAATTAATTTTTCTTTAACGCGCTCCCAGAAGCTTAGCTTTAATTTTATGAATTTGATTTTCGTCTTTAAATTCCTTATGGCCATGTTTTATGTTTCTTTGCTAAATAAAAATTATTTGAAAAACAAAATAAATACATAGTTCCTTTGTGTGTGTTTGTTTCTTTACATAGTCTATAATATAGCAGTTTAGAACTTACTAATAAAAAATACTTAAAATTGACTTGTTAGGCTTAGTTTCATTTCATAGATATTCTCATTTTTTTGTTTTTCAATTACAAATCGTTTCTAATAAACGTTTAAGCAGAGTTATTTTTCTTGTGTTTTTGTAATAGATTTGTTTTTAATTGTCTAGTTTAAGAGATGTGTATGTTTAGATTTGTTTTGTATAATTATTATTTGTAATAATATTTATTTTTGTGTTATCTAGCTGAAGGAAATAATAAGAAAAACTGACCCAATCTCTCTTCTCTCTACTCCCTACTCTCTCTCTCTCTCACTCTCTCTCTTCTCAACCCATCAACCATAGAGACAGATTACTGTAACTACTCTATAAAACTAACCCCCATCCTACTACACTAATGGCGACACTATATCTTCCCCTTCCCCCCAGGGGTCCCCCTTAACCACCACTCTAGAACATACCATCGGAATGAGCTATGGGTATTAGTAATATTAGAAATATTATAAAATTACGTGTAACTAATTTCCAGTCATTGGGTACTGCAAATGGCAGTAAGATTTGTGTAATACGATGTACCTCGTGCGAGGCACACACAAAAATAAACGATGTAATAATCATATTAAGTGTTGGAAATCCTGGCAGCAAAACCAAAACACCATGACGATCAGCTGCCAGCCATATATGATATTGACATATGAACAGCTCCAGAGATATGCGCCCGAACCAGGCGAAAAATGTTGAATATCTGGTACGCAATATGCCCGATATATTCCGCAATATAATATAACCAATAATCGGTATAAAAACAATATACGAATGTATTTCCTCACAGTTCTGTTCATTGCGGCAAAGGAATGAAAATGCCGTATAGAAACCCACACCAAGCACAGCCAAGAGGGTGACCGTTATCGAGGTACGCCTGGCAAAGAGATTGCCATGATTGTTGTCATCGAAAATGCTGTACTTTTGAGCAATGTGAAAACAAGCGGCAAAGATCATGCCAAACATGACCGTATAACGATCCAGTTTCCATTGATACCACCAATCGTGTATGTCATCGTCGGTGGTCACAAACAAAGCCTTCCAGGGCCGTGTCACAAAGATACGCTCAAAAAACACCTCCGACATAAAGAGTATGGTGACCACACTGAAACAGCCCACAAATTTCCCAACTAAATATAAATAATGCAAGGGATTCGCCTCCACGGTGCTGGCCGTAATGCGCGGCGGCAGCGAGAGTAAAAAATATATCACACACATCCAAAACGATAGCAATGGCACAAAATAATAAAACTGATATGGACGGTTCATGCAAAAGCACAGAATGACTGTCATGAAATTCAAACGGAACATAACCTGGAAAAATCGAACATAACCCGAGTTGCCCGTCTGCCACATATACGAGAAATGTGTGTAGCCAGTGTGAAAGAGGTAACCACTCAACAGCAACTTAATGTGCATGTGTATGGGTAACACCCGATCAGCACCAGTCATATAATAAATAAGCACCACCAACAATATCCAGCCCTTTAGCTCATCCGATTGATCACGATTAAGGACCTTGGTAAATCGGGAATCCTCGGTAAAAAATAGACCCAAGGCAAAAACATAACCTACGGGTATCCAAAAACTAAACTCGGAATAGTATTTGTTTTCTTTCATAAAGAAATTTGTGCGATCACATAGATAAAAATAGGCCATGATGATGCCCAACATGGCCATGGCCACAATGGGTGTTGAATAATCGATGCGGGTAAGGGTGAGTGTAGAGCCCGTAGACGCCAATCCTCCGTTGGCCATATTGGCGTTGGGTGTTGTAGTTGCCGGAGCTACATGTAGGCCAGGCCGTTCTGACCTCAGCGGTGTGTAGAGGGTATGGCCACGCAAGTGCAATAACCAGCGCCGTAAGAATATGCCGCACACCAAAACAATGCTGTAAAGATATGTACAATTGGAATATAAACTTTTATATATTTTTTTCTTAGTCTTAAAAAACTTAGGCTACCTAAAAGTAGTAAGGTGCCCAGTTGACTTCTTATTTAAACTTATGCATAATTATTTCATAATATTTCACTTCCAATTGTTTGTCAAGATAACCACAAGAGAGATTAAACACTAATTTCCATATTTTTTATGGAGGTGAGATAAGAAATGTTAATATATTATCATACCTTTTCATTGGCTAATTGCCAAGATTTAAAATTCAGATACTTCCATAGACTGTAATCATGCACATTCAAAAGAGAGTTTTTGTTGCAGCAGCTACGTCGACAAGGAAGGCTAGGCAAGGAAGTTTAATAACTCGCCTACTTTGGTAGATTAGAGGCGTGAATAAAGGTCAATTGAAAAGAGCAGCAGAATTGTGTGTGGGCTTTTACCACTTGCAGAATCTGAACGTATTTGGACCAAAACTAGCCTGTTTTTTATTGACAAGAATGAATTTATTTCTAAATGATTTATGACATTGTTGATACCACCAGTATGAATAATACTATGATCTACTGCTGAGTCCGTTTTGATTCATCTCAATCGGGTTATAGACTCATGACGGGCGCAACCTGTATATGTTGGGTCCACGACGACACAGAATTTATTTGTCATGTGGGCCTGTGTCGCATGCTGATCAGTTTTACTGCACGTTCTACTCGTCATGTATATGATCTACGAACATTACGATAAGTCGTTTTGCCACAATTCTCAAATCGTAGCGTTTGTTTTCAAAGATCACTGCTTTCCATAGCCAATTCTGACCTATTTTACGAGAGGTCAACCATGTATCTTCGTCCCTATTGCATTTAAACTCCTTATAAAGATGATCCGCCGATCTTACGAGCAGGTGTCCGGTTACAAATCTCAGGGCGATGTTATGACAAACCTAAATACTGCTCCCTTTCGTATCTCTAGTTTTCACAGAACACTGATTCACATAGCCAAACCTTACCGACTTTACAAGATGTCAACTTTATCCGCATTCTATGCTTTGCAATAGATTGAAATTATTTTTCTTTGTTGTCCCCACTCTAAAATTGTTTCAAAATTCATTCATTCATATATCGTCTGTATAAAATCATATCCAAGTATTGGCTACTTCTTTGAACTTTCGATAATTAGACAGATTTGCTTTCCCGTGGTTAAGGGAAGAGCGGCAATAAGGGTTTATCTGCTTTAGGAGGTAATTATATGGCGTCGTATTATAGCATAAAGTTGCCAATAAATGCTACGGGTGTAATTGGATCATCGACTAAAGTGCAGCTGCTGACAAAACTTTCCTTCCTACTCTAGAGGTTTTGCTATTGAAAACAGATGTGAAACTGTCCTGAACGAATTTTTTCCGACACATTGGTCTGGTTTTGTGTATCAAGCAACTTTGATAAGGTGCTCGACTCCTGCCTTATTCTGGGGTTTCAGCTTTACCATTGAGATTCCTTCAGGGCCCAACACTTTGGCTGTTTAAGAGATTCGGATGGTATTTTCTCAAAGGACATAGATTTGGACTAAGGCCCTGCAATCCCTTTTCGCACGGTCTTCCGGTGATCTTTCCTCACTATGGGATCAATAGCGGAGAATTGCAGATCTTCATGACGTTCCTTCGCTTGAGCCGCCGTAGCTGATATGATGTCACGAAAATCCTTTTCAGCCACCCGAACATCAGATGTGTTTGGAGTAGTGGGTAGACAACTAACGTAATTTATCAGTCGGCGAACTGTGGCGCTTTCGCCTTCTTCGGCTGGGCTCTGTGACGGTATTTATAACTCGTGTTGAGCGTTGACCGCAGACCCTTTATCTCTTTTTTTTTGCCAGAACCGCTCCAGTTAGGATTATGTCACGAAAAATCCCCTTCAGCAACACGAACATCAGAAGTTTTTGGCAGTTTTCTATGCGAAGATTGGTGCACTTTCTGAATTCAAGCCAATTAGCTTTTCTTGGTTAAGGAGAGTCCAGCGATTTAAGTGGTGGGTAGATAACTAACGTGATTTATCAATCGGCAATCTGTAGCACTCTGGCCTTATTCGGCTTTGCACGAAATTTTCAAGATATCCCTCAATGCTGACTGTTCACGGTATTCACCAACCCTGCAAAGCTTAGGACAAATGTCAAGGTACTTTGTGTAGTCTTTTGACGAACCCAACTACTAGAAGTCCGTTACTGTCCTCTATTACGAACATCAAATTCTGTTGATTCGAATCCATTCCCATAAGAAATTGGGTGCTATTTGTGCAAAATCGACAAGGAGGGCAAACACCTAATACTTACATTTGATAACTAAAATACTCAACTAAATACAACTATAATATTACGAAGCTCTATAGAAAAATACTCACCATACTCCAAACACAGCATAGGTAACAATTTGCAATACGGTATACGGCTCAGCACTGCTGCAGCAACTGCCATCATTATAGTTCATGTTATCGTTACAGTACATGTTCAGCAACAGCTGGGTATAATGTTTCAGACCCAGTGTACACAGTTTATACCCATCAATGGCGGTGTCCACCAAACCATTTGATATTTGCCATGCCGCTTCCCACACCGTGGCATCTGTATAACGAAAAACACTGCGTGCAATACGATTTAAACGATCGATATCTTCATTTTTAATCAATTTCCATGAATCGATTAATTTCTCTTCATTGACACGATCCTGTAGTTTCCACAGCACTGTTGATTTTCCGGCCACCAATTGATCGAATGGCATAACGAGTCGTGTTAAATTCGTTTGATATTGTTTCAGCAAATCATCGGTGACATTGCCTTTTAAAAAGTTCCGATATGTAAAACCCACAATGAAAACGGCACGCACCTCTTTGGTATCTTGCAGTTTCGATAGGGTCTCCAGCAAAGCCTCAGACACTTCGTTGGCATAAATATAGGTGACACGCATTTTCAATTTGCTATCATCAAATTCTGTATCGGCAGGTGTTTGTTGTAGCTGCGAATCATTGGCATCGTCCGTTGGATGCAAATGATTTATGAACTCTTTATAGACCTCGTGCACCGAATAATCGCCAATGAATATAAAATGATTTTTATAGCCCCAAAATGCGAGATAACGTAAACATCGTCGGGTGTCTCTGAAATGGGAAATTTTAGAAATATATGAAATTCGGAAATTAAAATTTTGGCAAGAAGTTATTTTAATGAAGAACCAGACGAAAGGAGAAAAATACCTAAGGGTTCACTATATGATATATTTAATTTTTTGCATATTTTGCAGAGTTTCTCGTAACAAATACCAAGCCTTATAAATTATAATCGCAAAGTATCAAAAGGGTGATTATACCATCATCCACGTTCCTATAGAGGGTATATATCATTTGATACGGCCAAAACGTGCCTCATCGATATAACGGTTTTAGACCCCAGGTCTCTTTGGACCAAATCCGTTTCAGAGCATTTGCAGTCGATCTAGCGATGTACGTCCGTTCGTCTGTCTGTATGGCTTGTTGGTGCGTACGATAACTCTTGGATGGAGTATCCGATTTGATCCAAACTTGGTACGTCGTAATATTATTATAAAACTAAGATCAAGTTCAGAGATGGGCAATATCGGTCCACTAGTGGTACCTCCCCCACAAAACGTCGAACTTTTAAAAGAAAATATTTTACAGTAAGAGAAAGGATAATCCGATTTTGCTCCAACTTTGCAAATTTTAATATTTTAATCGATGCTAAGTCAGGTGGACAATGGACAATATCGGTCAAATCCATCAAGTATCTCCCCCGCAAAGGGTTAAAATTTTGAATAATTAAAACTCTTATAAAATGTGATGCACGAGTCCGATTGTCTTCAAATTACACAAATCACAATATTTTTATTAACCTAAGGTCTGTTGTGAAGATGGTCCATTCCTTCTGGTACCTCCCAAAAAAGAGTCAAAATTTTGAGTATCCATGAAGCTCATAAAACGAGAAATTAACATCCGATTCCATTCAGATGTGGCACATCTCCACATTTTTATAAAAAGAAAAATCTGTTATAAAGATGTTAGTGATCGGACCATTACTTCTGGTACCTCCCCCACGAAGGGCCAATGTTTTGAATAACCAAAACGATTATAACATCCGAAATAAACATCCGGTTCTCTTTATATTTCACACATCCCATTATTTTTATTAACACAAGATCTGCTGTGAAGATGGGATATATCGGTCCATTCCTTCTGGTACCTCACCCACAAAGGGTCAAAATTTTGAGTATCCATGAAGCTTATAAAAAGCGAAATTAATATCCAATTCCACTCAGACTAAGTACATCTCAATATTTCCATCAGGACAAAATCTGTTATAAAGATGGTAGAGATCGAATCATTCCTTCTAGTACCTCCCCCACAAAGGGTCAATATTTTGAAAAAACCAAAACGATTTTAAAATCCGAAATTAGCATCCGGTTCTACTAACACAAGATCTGCTGCGAAGATGGGATGTATCGGTACATTCCTTCCGGTACCTCCCCCACAAAGGGTCAAAATGTTGAATATCCATGAAGTTCATAAAACGTGAAACATCCAATACCACTCAGACGTGAAACATTTCCATATTTCTACCAACACAAGATCTGCTATTAAGATGGTAGAGATCGGAACATTTCTTTTGGTACTTCCCCCACAAAGGGTCAACATTTTGAAAAACCAAAACGATTATGAAATACGAAATAAGAATCCGGTTCTCTTCATATTTCACACATCCTATATCAAATATCTAGACAAATTTTTCTAAATCGTGGACCTAAGTCCACCAATTATTTAACAGATATTTTTCACTGATACAAACGCTTTTTTGCATCCTACGATCAGAATGAAGCCATATAACGTTGAAGCTTGTTATATCTTCAAGTAAAATGTTAGATCATTCTAAAACCTAAAGCGGGCATCACATTCAGTCTCATGTTCCTTCTTTACATTGAAGGCCTTTGATTGGTGTTGGAGGATATTAAAAGGTTCTTTAGTTTTAGATTTAAAAAAATTTTGAACGTAGTGTTGGTACTGTATCAAACAGGGACATGAAAGGAAATTGCTTTGCCAATTTCATTGTTTATACATTGTCAAAAAATGCAGCCGGCAACACCATAGCCTAGGGATTGATAAGTCATTGTAAGTGTATCGCATTTAAGAAGCAATTCCATTACAGCAGCAATAAACTTCATGTCAATGACCCTGTAAAGACAACAAACATTTGCACTCCAGTGAACAGCGCTGTGTTCACTCTGTGGTAATTTGTTGAACATAAATACACAAATAATTTGCTTGTTGCCACTAATTATTATTCATGCCGGTACCTTATTCATTTCGGGGGGTTTCTTATCAGCAAGCAAGCCAGAACATTGTAATCCCCTTTAAAATGAAGAAACACACGAAATCACACACAAATTTCATTATACTACATGAATCACTGCCGAGCATTAGATATGAACAACTAAAGACCTTGGGCAAGAAAATACTAAACGCGCGTCAGATAATATAAGATAAAAAAAAAAACTTACGTTTGACTATACTTATGTACCATACAGCCGTAGGGCTGCCACTCATTGTTGCCCTTAAAACGTCCCTTCGACAGGAGCCACTGGCAGGAATCACTTCCTGAAAGTAGAAAATGCAATATGATAACAAAACTGCATTTGAATTGCCGTCGGCTTTTTTTCTTTTGGGCCCTCACCATATTGCCAATTGAGTATGCCGTGATAAACAATAAAACCCAGGACCATACATAGGGCCAACTTCTTGAAATTATTCGAATTTAATTGTTGTATAAAATACTCAGCTTTGGAATTGCTACTGCTGGTTGTGGGAACTATTTCTGGACCGCCAATACCAACACCGATAACATCGCCTCCACCGCCATCCGCACCAATTGCAGCATCAGCATCATTTTGCAGATGATTTAATTCGAGCTCTTCACTCATTGCTAGCGTATATTGATGCATGGGAAATTCCGTTTGGGTATTGTTGTCTTTTTGTGTCGAAATTAAAGCATTTTAATAAGCGTTTTCTACGTTTTCCAATCGAAAAGAAGTAACAGAAAATGTTTCAAGTTTTTTGTTATTTTGTGCTTGCTGCTGCTTGATTGATTGTGTCCGCTGTGGCTTGTGAAAAAATTTCTTTCGTTTTTTGTTGTTTGCCCAACCTTTCGACCACCCTTCACCCCACCGTTTTGTTTACGAAGTGCCAGGCATAGGCGTAATGTCAAATTAACGTGCAATAGGGTTGCCATTCTACAAGAAATAACTAAATATGAGGGCATTTCACCATAACAGCTGTTTTATCTGGGCCGGTGGATTAAAATAAAATAAAAATTTTAATCAATAAAATTATTAACTATAAATTTCATGTAGGCGAAATATAATAATAATTAGTTGCAGATCGAATTGTCAAAATTTTTTGTTATATGCAGAAAAAGAATAATTGAACGGGAATGAAAAGTAGAAACGCTGAGCAAAGACGTCAAAATTATTCCACAATAATGACCCTATGAATAATGAAAAATTATTCCACTTTGTAAAAATTTTTGAAAAACGCATAATAGCATGTTTCCATTGGAAACCGAACAACGTTGTTCGCTCTCAGAATTAGGTACACGAATTAACCCGTTCATACGGCACGATTCGTAATTCATAGTAAAATAATTCCTTTTTTCAAAAAAATTGTTTGTTGATTTTAAAGGGAATGTATACGAAAATACATGAAATTCTCACTAATATGAATGTAAGAAATTATTGTTTTTCTCCCAAAGATTTATTATATCATTAATTTTACAATTTTCATTCACGTTTTCAACTTTTTGTGTAAATGTTGACATTTTGAACATATTTTTGTGTTTTTCCATATTTAAATTCTGCTGAAGAGACACTTGTCAAATATTTTTTCTGCCGATAGAAACATTTTGAAAATATTGACTATTTTGTTTGCAGTTTTCTGTAGAAATTTTAACTCGTGGACCAAATGCGTACCTCGAATGAGAGAGAAAACAAAATTTACTTTCGTTTGAATGTACATACGCCATTCAACATTGTAGTTTTCATTCATAATTTTCAGTCTTCCCAAAAATTTTTAAAATTTCATTAAATTATTCTATTTATAATTTTTAAATGTCATAATTTATTTTTTCGATAAATGCTCTCATTTTTTAGGGATGGGACAAATTTTTTCGTTGTTCTGAGAGTGATTTGATTTGAACAACGTACAAATATGAGTGTTCGCTCAGGAAATTTTGTGTGAAGAATTAGGTAGTTTTTTCATAGTTAAGGGTCAAACAACGAATAGAGAGCGAATCAAGTGCAGTGGAAACGCCACATAATACAAAAATTTCCGATAAATATCGTTTACTAAAATACTTATATAAAAATCTACTTAAATTTGAAAAAAAAAAAAACATTTTAAAAATGTTGAAACATTAATTTTCCCAAGCTTTGATCTGGATGAAAGACGTCAAAATAATTTCACAATAATTACCCTACCAAAAAACTGATGATTTCATCAGGCTTTTCATGGTAGAAGAATACAGGAAGACGTGTCGACACAGCTGCGGGGACAATGAACTGTCAAAGCAATTTTTGAATTGAAGTTTTTGAATGAAAAATTTTCCAAATTTGTAACAATTGTTGAAAAACGCATAACATAATAACCTCCGATTGACGTCGTATAAGAAAGAAATGACTTGAAATGCATTTGTGTGCTTACGTAGGTTAAAACCTCTAGCATTGCAGCATTAAATCAAAGTTACCTCGGTAATAAAATCAAGTTAACCTCAAATTATAAAGGGTGATTTTCAAGCTATTATCTTTTTGACAACACTGGTCTAAACAGCTTACTCACATTCCGTGTTTTCTTTCACTGTCAAACATATTCAGTTTTGCCTTTAATTTAACCAATAATAGTCTTACAAACGAACTACACTGTCAAACCATGGAACTTCGAGAAAGGTTTTTATATGTGTTCTTATACGAAGCCCACCAGAAATTCATTTTTAATTTTTTTTACAAATTTAAATAATTTTTCATTCAAAATTTTATATTCCAAAATTGATTTGTCAGTTTTTTTTCGGCGGACTGCCGAATTTGGGTTTCTCCGATGAGAAAACATTCGTTGTCCAGACGTTTGTAAACAAACAAAATGATTAATCAACCGTGGAATCGTATTAATCGACCGTGGTATCAGAATAAATGCCGAATATTATCGCGAAAATATTCTAGAGGGTGTAATGAAGGCTTATGTACGCAAACAGTTTGGCCGCAGACCTTGGACATTCCAACCGGACTCAGCACAATCGCAATCAGTACGCGCCATCCAAGAATGGTTACATTCTTCATTTTCAGCACACTATGGCCACCGAAATCTCCAATCCGTTGCACTATTGTGTCTGGAGTCTTTTGGAAAGCAAGGTTGGCACTAAAAAATACCAAGGTGTCGACCACCTCAAGCAAGCGTTTCGCCCGGAAGGGCCAGGTCAACATTCGGGCAGCAGGTCAACATTGGCCGTTTGAAGGTCGTAATTCGTGCCCAAGATGAGCAATTCGAACAAATCTAAACTTATTCTAAAATTTGATGCTATTTCCGACTTTTTTTTTCATTCAATAAAATTAAAAAAAAAAATTATAAAAATTATGGCGTTTGACTTTGTTGCAGTATTTTTTTTTATTTCACCCTGTATTAACATCTAATTTTTGTTTTCCTGAAATTGTTAGCAAGTGCTATGAGTACTTCAAATCGGCATATTGCTTGGCCACTTAATTAACAACTGTAAAGTTTGCAATAAACAACAAATAATATACAACTTGGCAACCCTAATATGCCGGGAAGGAAGTTGTTTACATGTGCCAAAAACAGGGCAAACACTGCAAAATTGCAACCAAACAAAGAAGGTCCTTTGGAATTTTCAGCCAGTTTTGCGCTCTTAATTTGCAACGAAATATTGAATTGTATAAAAATTAACAAATGCGTGACCTATTCAAGACTTTGGAAAAATTGAAAAGTGAAACAGTTATGGAATATTGTGAAGAATTCAATGGCATTAAATCAGTGCTGGAACATTGTAACAAACATGTAAAACCGTTCAATAAGGTCTATTTTCGAGGAGGTAAGAGGCAGTGGCATTTTTATATCAAAAAATAATTTTTTTCGTTCATTTTTTTAAGGGAATGAGGCATTTATCAATGAATTGGTGAGACGCCTGCAAGACTACCTAAGCGAGGCGGGATTGGTGGATAAGGAAACTAAAAAACCTTTGCCAGAAAAATCTCATATTCTAAGGAAAATTTTAATGTTCTTAATGTTCAACACAGATGCCACTTACAAATATGATTTGCGGAGTGACCAAAACATTGTCCACGTCCTGGAGATATGCCCATTGTTGCCGAAATTTATGCTAGTTACCTTGGTGTGGGAGTTACATTTCGATCGATATTTTAATGAAATGCTATCGTATTCTCCTTGTTGGTTCTCATTTCAATATTTTGAGCCAGCCACCGATTCTCTCAAATATATCGATGATGCTTTTGAGGTTCTCGCGAAGGTAGAACAACTTTTGAAAGCCATATTTATTTCAATAACACGCTCGGAACTAAGGATAATGGATAGTGTGGATAAACGTATTATCTATAACAAACTTTATGATTATGCCATGAATTTGCTACGTTTGTTTTACACACCTGATGCTGAAAAGTTTTCCAATTTCAGTAAGAAAAAAATGTATAAATATTCCGGCTTTGCTTTGAAGCATTTGCTGGAAATGGTCTTGTACGCCTTTGATGTCTATGAGAATGCAGACTTGGCCAATCCCTTAGAAAATTGGCCGGAATATGATATTTGCCAACAGCCGTGTAAAAAAGAAAATGGCAATGTCTCTACGGCTCAGAGCAAAGAGTTGAAAGAGCAACAGATGAAAATTATAACAGCTTTACTCAATGCCCTACAGAACAATGTGCTTTTGGTGAAAATTGATATATTCATATACTGGGTTGAAATCGATTTGAATGAAAAACAAACCCTCCAGGAAGTTGTGGGTGAAATGGCCTATCGTGTGGGCGAGAGAATGTTGAAAAATCCGGCATTTGGTCACGATGTCCAACAGCAATTAAAGGTCATAGAAATACGTCCTCGAACTTTGGAGGAAACGGTACAAGAAGCTCGCATAGGAGATATATTAAATGCCCTCGATGATAAATCGCTGGAATATAAAGTGAGACGCGCCTGGTTCAATGAGCTAATCAATCGCACCGTTGTGGCCCTGGGTAACGACGAATGTTTGCTAGCCATAAAACAAAACATCAAACTAATGAATGTTGAGCATTGCAAACAAGTCTTGGATTTTATAAAACTTGAAATTATTCGCAATCACAATGAGGATTTAAATGATTCGCATATTGATACCAAACCGAATATAGAAAATATGGATATAGATCCGGAAGATTATGAGGAACTATCCGAATTGGTTCTACTGGCCATGGAGAATTTCAATGAAGATCAAATCTTAGATGTCCTCAATTATCAATGTAAATTGTTTGGCTATGAATCAACCTTGTTTGCCCGTTCGGATGTTGCCAATCGCAGTACGGAGTTCTTTAATAAATGTGATACAGATGCCAATGAATTTGATCTGCAACAATTTCTACTCTTAACCTTCGAACAAGCCCAGCTGGTATGGCAAAATTTCTTTGAATGTGCCTGTCACAATTTGCAGCACATCGAGAGCTATTGCAAGGCAGTAAAGCGTTGTCGTCCATTGTCGAACAGTTATTTTAGACCACAGCTAATGGCGGCCTTCAACGACTTATCCTCGCTGGAGCAACGTTATTTTCCAGCCCTATTGTGTGAAATTTATTTCACACTCTACTATCCGGATAACAAGACGGAATTCCTTAAACAAATCATTCACAAACAAGTTAATCAATTTTTGGATAATCAACAATTCACCTATCTATTGCCATTGGTGAAATGTTTGAATTTAATCAACAGTTATGGTGAGACTCAATCCACAAAACCTTTAAATTTCGGTGAAATAACTGCTCCCGTTCTACTGATGGCGGCCCAAATTATGGACAAGGCTAGATGGGATTTGATAACCTACACCGATGTCCGAGATGAAATCGTACGAGAGTGTATACAGTTTATACAGAAGACGTCAAAGAAATTTCTACCGAATGCAACGGAGAAGGGTAAGAATATATTGGGGGATTTTTAAAATCAGCAATTTCTTTTCAAATATCTTGGATTTTAAAAATATTTTTTTGAGATATCTTTTCAAAAATCCTGAATTTTAACAATTGTCCTCTCAAAAGGATTTATTTAAAAAATATATATTTCTCAAAAATTGAGGGTTTTTAAAATAAATTGTAAATATCAAAAATCCTTGATAAAATAATAATGGACTTTTTAAAAAAATGTAAATTTTTGAAATACTTCTTTCAAACATCCTGAGTTTTGAAATATAGTTTTTTATCTCTTATCTTTTAAAAAGTTATAAATTTTTATTTATTTTTTTTTTCAAAAATCGTTAATTTTGAAAATATTTTCTTCAAAAATCATGGGTTTATGAAATATTTTTTTCAAATATATTGGATGTTATTTTTTTAAATCGTGGATATTTTTTATTATTTCTTTAAAAATCGCGCATTTTGTTTTCAAAAAACTTACATGCCTTAAATATTTAAAAATTTGTGAATTTTTAAAATATTTTCTTCAAAAATCGTTAGTTGTTTAAAAACTTTTTAAAAAATTCTTGATTTTTAAAATATTTTTTATTACTTTTGAAAAAATGTCGAATTACAAATACATTGGATTTTTTTTTTTTTTTTGAAAAACCTTGGTTCTTTGAAAATTTTCTAAAATCGAGGCTTTTTTTAAAAAATTTTAGATTTTTAAAATATTTTAGGTCAAAAATCATGGGTTTTGAATTTTTTTCAACAAGTTTCAATTAAAAAAATGTATACATTTCACAAAAATTGTGCATTTTTAAAATACATTTTAAATAATTTTTCAAAAAAATTTGATTTAAAAAAAATCGAGGACATTTAAAAAAATTGTATATTTTTGAAATATTTCTTTCAAAACTCGTGATTTCTGAAATATTGTTTTTTATATCCTATCTTTTTAAAAATCATCGATTTTTGTTTTCTGTTTTTTCTAAAATCATAAATTTTGGAAATATTTTCGTCAAAAATCGTGGGTTTTTGAAAATATTTTCAAAAATATTGGATTTTAATTTTTTTTCAAAAATCGTTGATTTTTAAATTCCTCAAAAAGTCTTTTTTAAAAATCGATTTTTTTTTCAAAAACTTTTTCCTAAATATTTCAAAATTTGTAGATTTTAAAAATCTTTTTCTCAAAAATAGTTTTAAGACTTATTTAAAAAAAAAAAAAAAAAAAACTTTTCTTTTTCAGATCGCAAATGGATAACCAAAGTTATCAAAGATTCATACAAACCATTGACTCAGTACTATTTTCAAAAATATTCCATGACCCCAGATCAAATACCCATCGAATTTGATCGGTTTCTAATTCGACTCGATATCGAAGATAAATCGGAGGCTGAAATGTTTCTCATTATTGTAAGTGTCAATCAAAATATGATAAAATTTAAACTCAAAATTGTTTTTCTCCATTTTTAGAATTACGTTCGATGTACCATGAAAGAAACCGAATGGCTGGCACGCAGCGAACGCCTACTGCCACACATCTCCGATGTCATGATAATACTATGTGGTGTGGTCAATGAAACCGAAAATCCAAATGCCATCAACAATTATCGCCATTGTTTGGCAAACTATGCCAATATTGTTCAAAGATTTCTGCTACCACAAATCGAAGACGACAATAAGGCAATCGAAAAGTTAGAGATTAAAGTATTGAAAATTATCTCCTCAGCACCGGAACAAATCTATGAAGAGACCTTCATGAGTTTCGAATCGTTGCTATTGGATATTGTACGAAAGTGTGGGCGACCCTTGGAGGAAAATATATCTAAGAATATCCAGAAATATGTCGATACCATGAAGGAGTGTAGTGCCAGGCAAATATTTACGGATAAACTTAAGGCATTGGTCACGGAAATGTCTTAAACGAGAATACGAACGAGTTTGGAAATGATACTACAACAATTAGGGTATATTACCATATATGTAGAGTTCCAGTTCCTTGAAATAAGTATTTATTTGTTTGTGATTTCTTCTCTTCAGATTTAGATTTTTACACCATCTCTCACACATGTAATCGAAATAGTATTAGGGTACTTTTAATAAAAGTATTGAATTTTTTGCTTGTTTTTGTTATATTCTCAACAATATCTATAACAGAATGTTGTTTTATTAAAAGAAAATGGTACTTTATGGGTTAATTTGGTTCATGTATTCGAATTCATTTCAAATGACCATCCATGGTAATCTATGGAAAAGGCACATTTCCAGTGGTACAATATCAATTTAAAAATGGGATGACTTCACTGCTTAGAATGGAATTATGTAAATAATTAATTTTCAATTTAGCGCGTTTTATCACAGTGTTGCTTTTTATGCGCCATACGTCAGTCGTCTCATTTAAAATAACCCTACGACTGCATTGGCAACCCTGCTTTGAACAACGAATGCAGGAGGAAAGAAAAATTATCAAAAAACAATGCATCAAAAATACTGGTTAATTTTATCGATGGGACATTTTTATCCCGTTTTGTTCTTTTATTATGTTCTTATTCTTTATTTGAATATATTATCTCTTTTTCGCTCATACATGTGCAGTGGCAAGCAGTGCGAAAGAGATAAGTCGACAAATAACTGAAAAGAAGAGAAATGCATAAAATAGTGTTGCCGTTGGTTTTATTTAAGGGACAATACGTGTTATATTAAGACGTTTACATCATACTAGATTTAGACAATTTAGAGACACAATTCAATTTCGAGAATAATGCAGCCACTGAAACCAACTTCAGACTGCTGTCATTTCTAAGCCACTCATCGGACAGCAGTTAAAATTATTCTAGTGACAGCTTATTATATAGCTTACAAGCGTGCAAAAGCATTTTGATGAGAATTTTCCAGAAAAAAACTGGTAGCGTAGCCCGACGTCAAGGAAGTGGACGGAAGGAATGAGCAACACATGGCGGAAGAATACAGGTAGATGCATCAACGCTTGGGATCATTGATATGTCAAAAAAATTTAAATGTTTTTTCAAATATAAGTAGATTTTTATATGTTTTCTTATACTACGTCATTCGGAGGCTATTAAAATTCGCGTTTTTCAACAATTTTTACAAATTTAAATAATTTTTCATTCAACATTTTCAATTCCAAAATTGGTTTGACAGTTCATTGTCCCAGCAGCTGTGTCGACGCGTCTACCTATATTCTTCTACCATGGAACAACATCAGCAGAAATGGTTCGAAAAGTAAAGATGCGACTTGATCGAAACCCGCTTCCCAGTGCCAAAGGTGACTAATTCGAACAAATCTAAACTTATTCTAAAATTTAATGCTATTTCCGACATTTTTTGCTTTCATTCAATAAATTTTAAAGAAAATGTCAAAAGTATGGCGTTTGACTTTGTTGCAGTTTTTTTTATCTCACCCTGTATATAGTCCAATGGTATAAAGCAATGTAAATATAGTCCAACGCAAAATTATTAAACTTAATTATTAATCTCAATATATATCGTGCTCAAATTTCATTTCGAGCTGTCAAAAAATAGTGGTAGAACATCAAATAATGCGTAAAACATTGTACAGCGGCAACTCTGGTTGTAAATCGTCATCGTGTCATCGTTAACGGAGGCAGGAAGGTTCGCAAAAATTTTTTTTCACAAATATTCAGGAAAAATATCCTGAGGAAGTTTTCTTCTGTGTGTGTTTTCCAACAGAAAATATAAAGCAAGAAACGAAATTTTTCAAATAAAATATATTTTTGCAAGTTTTTAATTTATTTTGTTGTTTTTAATCGCAGAATAAAATAAAGCAGAGAGTTTGACACTACTCGCTTTGCAAAAACAGCAAAAAAACGCCGGCGTGAGAAAAAGAAATTAAAAATCGGTCGACATAATTTTTCGTTCCGCACATAAAAGAAAAAATTCCCGTGCAGTCATCATCGAAAGCGAAGGTTGGTTGGCAAAAAAAAAAAACGAAATACCGAACAAGAGGAAGAGCAAGAAAACCAAAAAATCATAAGAAAAGCAGAAGAGAAATACAAGCAGCAACGAAAACGAAAGAAAACGGTCGTTTTTAAATTTAATTCTTTTTGCAAAGAAAATACAAATATAACAACAACAATTTTGTTGAGTGGAAGTTCCAAAATAAGTAGCAAGGCAGGCAATCAACAGAAGCAGTAGCAGCAGCAAATCACAAACATGCTTGCATTTACAGAGGCCCAGTTAAAAGCAAAGCTGATCATTGACCCACCAAGCGAACTGCGCTTCCGTGGTAAGTAATGTTTGTTGGTGCTGTAATAATTATTACAATCATCCATCCATCCAACCAACCACCCATAATATGTAATTTCTTCAATATTTGTTAGTTGTGAAGAAGAAAGGAGAGGAAGTCAGAAAACATGGCAAAGAAAAACGAAATGGCTAATGAGACACAAAAAAATATGTATGAGCTTGTGTGTGTGCGTGCATTAGAAATGCCTTGATTGATATTCCGCGAAAATGACTAACCGTTTTTTTGGGACTTCCAATGGATACGGCTGGGAAAAGGGATTTCTGTATTTGAGTGACAATATTTGCCCGTATTATTTTAGAAAGTGCGTATGTTGCCTGGCAGGCTGGCTGGTTCCCTTCCCCAATGCATACATAAGTTTGTTTTGTTGTGCGTCGCCTTGTGTATAGTTTTCTTTACGCTTACCCAAAAATAATTTGTGGTTTCATAAACAGTTCAGACAAAATTCTCTTCTTCTGTCTAGAATTAGAACATGATGATAATGGGCGTTCTGTTCTGCTTTTTTGAAGTGAAATTTGTCTGGCCAACGTTATACAAATTTCCTTTTGTATTATATTTATCAAAAAAAAATCTTTGCTCTATTGTGTTGCTTTTCGCACTTTAAACTTTTTCTGCCTTTTGCTTTGAATTAGCATTCTGTTGCTTTTGTTTGTTTGTTTTAACTACAAACAAGAAAAAAATAGCAAATCATTTTCCATATTTAATTTTTTTTTTTCATTTTCAATTGCTGCAATTGCCTTTTTTATTTGTGCTTTTGCCATCCATCCTTGCCTATATTTTGCAGTCTCTGGCTAAAAGCGAACTTTGACATTCTTCCATTCTATTGTTCCTTCCACATTGAATGTCATAACTTTATCAAGTGCGACAACGAAGGCGGCGGCGGTGATGATAATGGTGTGCTACTACCAACTTTGGTTATTTTTATGTGACATTGATTGTTTTTTTTTTTTAGAAGTGATAAGCTTAATATTAATATGTGCAATAATAGTCATGGCCTAGCCAGCTGGCGGCCATTAGAAGTTACAGTACATAATTGAAAATTCATACATTCCAAGCTGATAAAAAGTTATATTCTCGCAATATCTTAAAAGGGCCATAACATGATGAATTAGATGTTAATCATTTTAATAGGCAGTATCAGAATGATAAGCAATGTGAAATAATCAAAATACACAGCTCTGAATCACTGGAATTGCAATTCATTAAATTGCTTCAGGTAACATTGTTGGACTAATACGGTCTATCAGAAAACATTAAACAACAATATTTATTCTATGCATATTGCAGGTGAAAAAATAAACAGATCGAAATCATCTTTTTTTTTTGTCTGGTGGCCCCTTCCAAAATGGTTTCAAAAAGCATCTCAGCTGATTTTGTAACACACGATTTTCTTGGGGGACGGACCCAGGAACCCAGATTTTGGACCCGAAAGTCCGGGTTCTGGCACCGGCCACACCTATCCGGTATTTATCCGGATTAAAAAAAAGGCCCAATATGGAGTTCCAAATTATGATGCCATATTATAGCTGACACTCTTACCTTTCCAAAATGCTGAGCTAATATCTTTTTCGGGTCCAGAGATATGGATTTTCCATCCGGTTGCCCGCCCATAATAGACCCTTTTTCGACTTTTTGGGTTTTTTATATAAAATCCGGGTACATCACGTGACCACTTGTTGGATAACTATTTTCATAAGCTTTCCAATAAAAGGGGATCCTTAGATTTAAGAGTTTTTACCAAACTATAGTTAAGCCATCTCTGACTGAGTTTGTAACATCCTCATAAAGAAGTGTAGACAGGGCAAAATCCAAATTAACATAAACTAGGTATTTTGTTATGATATCGTAACAACAGGGGTCAATCCTCCTAGTGGCAAATTTTTGGCCCACAATATTCCATATATTCTGTTCTAGGTTTTTGGTATTCATATATAGCTACCAATGTAACTGTAAAGTCCTACAAATTCGGATTAAACTTGGTTATGGGACGTGCGATCAACTTAAATTCCCCTTTATCATCAGTCCATTAGATACATTTTGTTCGTTCTTTGTAGAAGAAAGTAGCACTGAAATGCAGATAGCGTTCCTGTAAAGAGCTCGATCGATGGATTATTTAAATGGATTCAAATAAAGAGTTTTATTGAAACATCGGCGAACACATTCTCTCATTCAATATTTAGTCCATACTACCGAAATATCCATCAAATCGAGCTTCTTTTTGGCCCATTTTTTTCCAATCGCTTGAGTGGAGTGAGTCCCAAGAGAAAGGGATAAAGAAATAACATATCATATATTATAGTTGCATAAATTTCCGATTTCAGATAATGGGATCTTCGTTCGATAAGCAGGTTGGTCTCTTTGTTATAACATCTTCCAAATAGTTGGTATCTCTTACTGCTCAGCATGGAGCAACCTTACAAATGTACTAATTACTCCTTATCCCCACACAGTATGAAGCAGTCTATTCCACTGATGTGATATTTTAGGATTTATTTAACCATAAGCCTTTGTCTAACACCGAAAAGAGTTGGACAGTGGCAAAGTAAGTGCTCTGTCGTCTCAGTTTCCATCTCCTCTTGACAAAGCCTTCAGTATTTACTGTTGTCATCGTTCGATTACTCCAAATTTTTTAGCAATCCCTTCCATTTAGCCTGTTTTTGTTGAAATCTCCCAGAGTAATGTTTATATATCACTCGGGAGAAGTGGCACAAGGCTGGCTTCATTGAGTTCTCTATCTCCGGGTTGACTGATTCGGAAACAGGTCATGCCAATTCATCCGCTGAATCATTGCCATAGATGAGGCAATGGCCAGGAACCCAACAAAGCTTAAAGGACGACTTTTTCCATTTTTCGATTTCATACCCTAAAATGTTTCTATCCCCAGCACCCAGTCTAAGTCTACAGTTCTGAGCACTGTTAGTGCGGAATATAGTCATATATAGTTCAAGGTCCTGATATGCTCACATCTAAGCCTTCCTGATTGCCATAATATCTCCACAAACCTGTGATGATAATTTTAGTGGTGCGGTTATACTGGAGGTTAGGCATAACATACGTTAAACATACAACAGAACTAAGTTAGGTGTTACTCTAATGAAGCTCTCTACGAGGCGCTTGCGAATCCGATATTTTATGAACCCAAATTATGAAATATCAGAAAAAAAGTTCCGTATGTATCACCAGCATAAATAATTTCATTTGTGGTTAAACATACACAATTGTGGTGATTCATCGTATGAAAAGTCTTCTCTGTAGGTGTTAAAAGGTTGACTCATCGTTGTTTTGCTTCATTTCGCTTTAACTTCCACGACGAAGTCTGAGGTTTTCCATCTGATGATATAGATGATGTCCCTCAATATCCAGGCGCTGCAGAAGTCTACGTGACCGGTCTCAGCATTTTCATGTTTGAGCCCGATTTGACGCCCTCTGTTGCTAATTGATAGTTGGTAAAGCCTTATTAGACTCCACAATCCTAACTTCTTCCTTCTGATTGCGGATGACGATCCTCTAGGTCGTATATCCCTCATGAACAGATCAACAACCCCCGCCGGTTCTGGGTTATTTAGAAACTGTACGGTACATCTTTCTATGTCTATTTTAACGGTACAGCCCGACATTCGGCATTTTGATTAAATTAGCAACATTTCTTCACGGAATAAAGTTTCAAATTCAGCGTAAAATTCTAAGACGATTTAGTCCTGTTCGTCAAAATTAATTAAGATAGGAAGCTTAAATTTTGCACAGATCAGTCTTTTGTACGCAGGCAGTTTAAATTCGAAGATGGGCTATCTCGGTCCACGATATCGTATATCCTCCCTATATAACTGTACCTACCGATATTCGGTATTTCGATGATTTTACCCACATTTTTAAATGGAATTGTCTGAAAATCCACACAAGGAGTTCTTTCTGAGTACTTAACCCCTGGAAGAGAATTGTCTTTGTAGGTCTACGTTTAAGTATAGCACCCATATAACGCTACTCCAATATATTTGGTATTTCCAGAATTTTTGTAACATTATTCACCGGAATTGAGTTTTTGAAGTTCGTAATGGGTATTACAACCCATGACGGAAAAATGTCTATGTAGGTCCACATCTTAGTATAGCCCCCATACAACGGTACCTCACTTTATTCGGTATTTTGATGATACTAGAGACATTATTCACCGGAATTGTTCCGAATTTTCGCCAAGTGTCGTATGAGGACAACATGAGTAGTAAGTAATCAGACTTTTGTGGAAAAGTTTTCCGTTATTATAGTTTTCAGCCATTTACAAAATGTATATACATCCCATTTGTTGAAGGAACTTAAATAACTTATTGAAAATCGTTACCGTTTCCTTCCAATATTACTAACTGATTTTTCTATATTCTTTCTTGAAAAGGTTGAAATTACAGGATGTATTACAATTTTAACTTTGGTTTGATTTTATGTCTTCAAATCTCATACACGTAGAACAAATTGAGTTTTATCATAAAACTTCATTAATAGTTCCTGTTAAGAAATAATCTATAATGTTCCCTTTTACCTCAGTGCTTCCATCTTTTTTTATGCGGTAACTTGCTGCTGCATTGTTTGTTACATAACCACAATTATGTAATTATGTATCTTTATGTTTCACGTTTTATTTTATGATCTTTTAAGGCTTCCCTCCATCCATCCAACCATCCATTGTATGAGGCACACACAGAAATTGCAAAAATATCGATTATTTCTTGTCTACTTTTTATTTCGTAGTCTTCTCTCTATTTTAAACATATCTTCAAATTGTGCCAAAGAAAAATTATAACAAGAAGAAACTTTGTTCGTAACTTAATTCTTGGAATAGAGTGTAAAGTATCATCATCATCGTCCTCCTCACCTCTATGCAACCAACCATAAAACATCTTTATATCACACAGCGCCGTCACACTCACAACATGCCATTACAAAACCACCATAATCATGAAACAAACTAACAAAATTGCTTGTGGCCAAGA